TCACGTAGCATGAGCTTGGAGGCGATGCCTGAGCGATCAGGAGGCTGCAGTCTTTGTTGTGTGTCATCTTACTGCTCTATGTCCCTAGGCAGGTCATTTACTGGTTGGGAACATCCTGAAGTTCTTACAAAATAGAAATAATTATACCTCTGTCACTTCTTTTTAAGTTTTATTGTATTTGAGAGGCAGATTTTACAGAGAGAGAAAGAAAAAAGAGAGAGAGGTGTTCCATCTGCTGGTTCACTCCCCAAATGGCCACAGTGGCTGGAGCTGAGTTGATCCGAGGCCAGGAGCCAGCAGCTTCTTCCAGGTCTTCCATGTAGGTGCAGGGCCTCAAGGACTTGAGCTGTGCTTTGCTGCTTTCCCAGGCCACAAGCAGAAAGCTGGATCAGGAGTGGAGCATTCGGGGCACCAAGCAGTGCCCATATGGGATGCCAGCTGCATAGGTGGAGGATTAATGCACTGTATCACCACACTGATCTTTACCTGTATCGTCATTATCCTTACCTGTAACAGCTATTATGAGGCTGTTGAGGGCTGCATGAAAGTATTTGAATTCTAAATAGTTATGTATAAAGGAAATATGTTACTGTGAAACAGTTCTCCAGTTCTACCTATTTTCTTCCACTTACTCTGATTTGTTTCTCAGGTTTTAAAAATCTTTCCAGAAGCCTTGCCATTCTCATGTTGATTTTGTAATTAGAGAAGGGAAGGGGTTTTAAAAAATATCTCACTAAGTTGTACTGCCATACTAATTTTTGTTCATTTAAATTTTCCAGAGATTATTTTTTTGCCTGGAATTGATTGCAGTTTTGTTTGTTGCCTTAGCTAGTGCAGTTGCATGGCACGTGTTCTTCAACAAGCCGTGTCGCCGCCTGCGTGCATGGCTCCTTGTTTTTGATGCTGAAGATGATTGACTTGCTTGCACTTGGTGCTGTGGAATTCTGAAAACAGAAAGAGGATAACTCAGGTCAGTTGTAAGGTATCCTGGAGAGACTGAGTCATTGGTAGGTTAGTCTAGTCATTTGGCGTTTGGTTTCTGGGGCTTTCCTCAGTATTTACCTGGGCAGGAGGAGGATAGGACGTGGTACACAGTTCCCAGTTTCAGATAGCATTCCTGCATGACACGGAGCTGAGCTCTGCATTCTCATCATGAAGACTTAGGTCAATAAGTGAAGAGTTGTTGTACACTTCCCCCTTAATTTTAAAGATTTACAATAAAATTTTTCAGAAAAGTTACTTTACGTAAAATTTTGAGAGCTTATGGGGGCACTGATGTATTTTTTTCCAAGTCCTGATTTTGGATGTTCTCCTAAGTTCTTGCCTTTAAAAGTTGCGATGGTACTACTTGGACTACCTATTCCACATTCTTTTCTAGTTAATCAGTTTAATGTCTAAAGTGAAGTTAATACTGAGATAGCTATGACTTTTTTTTTCCCTTTTGTGACCTTTTAGTGGCTTTCTGCACTTCCTAATTTGTACCATAGAACTTTTTTTCTTTTTCAATTCTACATGGTGTTAATGTGTGTAAGTGAACTTCATGTAAATCATTGGAGTGTTAGTGGTGGGTGGGCATTTAGTATACTGGTTAAAACATTGGTTGGCACAGTGTCCTTCCTCTCCTGGTGGAGTGCCTAACTTTGAGTCCTAACTTCTCTTGTGATTCCAGTTTTCTGCCAATGTACACCCTGAGAGGCAGCAGGTATGCCCCAAATGCTTAGATGCCTGTCTTCCATTTGGGGGCCCTAAACTGAGTTCTGGGTTCCTGGCTGTGACCTGGCTTGTTGCAGGCATTTGGGGGGAGTAAATCAGTGGATGAATGACGTATTTTTGTCTCTATGCTTTTCAGAATAAACTTGTGAATGTTGAGGTAGAGATAAATTCTTAGCCAGGTGACTTAATCCATACTCACCCTCTTGTAGAATCATCCACTGGCTTCACTCAGAGAACTGAAGTTATTCATGGATTACCAGGCTCAGCAAGGTCAAGCCCTGATCCCCGTCTCTCTCCTGCACAGTGCTCTTTGCTCTCAAGCTGTGTTCAAGCTATCCCATGACAAGTGGGATCTCTTCATTATATCACCTGCTTTTAAAATTTTATTTCATTTGGGCCCGGCGCGGTGGTGCAGTGGTGAAGGTTCTTGCCTTACACGCCCGGGATTCCATATGAGCGCCGGTTCTATCCCGGCAGCCCCGCTTCCCTTCCAGCTCCCTGCCTGTGGCCCGGGAAAGCAGTCGAGGACAGCCCAAATTGGGACCCTGCACCCGTGTGGGAGACCCAGAAGAGGCTCCTGGCTTCGGATCGGCATAGCATCGGCCGTTGCGCTCACTTGGGGAGTGAATCATCGGACGGAAGATCTTCCTCTCTGTCTCTCCTCTCTGTATATCTGCCTTTCTAATTAAAAAAAATCTTTAAAAAATTTTATTTCATTTTTATTGGAAAGGCAGATTTACAGAGACAGGGAGAGATGGAAAGATTTTCCATCTGCTAGTTCGCTCTCCAAGTGACTGCATTGGCCACAGCTCAGTCAATCCAAAACCAGGAGCCTGGATCTTTTTCCTGGTCTCCTGTGTGGGTGCAGGATCCTAAGGCCTTGGGCCGTCCTCTGCTGCTTTCCCAGGGTACAAGCAGAGGAGCTGGATGGGAAATGGAACAGCTGGGATGTGAACTGGTGCCTATATTAGTGATTCTGGTGCCTGCAAGGCGAGGATTTAGTCACTGAGCTATCATGCAAGGTTCACCAGCTGCTTTTTTTAAAGCATTGCTGTGGGCAACTTACCTTCTTGAGCGTACTTGAAGGATACCTCTCACATCCAGCTTTGTGACCTCAATAATGGGTATATGGTTGATTTATGATGTAGTACCTTTTATGTTTAAAAATTTAAAGAATTCGTTTTATAGGCAGTTAGCAGCAAGGAGAGCAAATGAACAAGAGGGCGTGTTCTACTGGTCACTCTTTAGATACCTGCAGTAGCTGGCCAACTGAAGCCAGGAGCCAGGGGCTTAGCCAGAGTTCTCATTACATGGTGAGAACCCAGCTGCTGGAGCCACCCCTGTTGCTGTCAGGATTTGCATTAGCGGGAAGCTAAAGTCAGGAGCTGGAGCTGAGAAACAGATCCACACCGACTCTGACATAGGCAGTGGATGACTTCTCTAGGCTCAGGGCTTTTCCTGCTTTCTTCTCAGAGCTGATACTAGCTGGGTTGAAGAGGACTTTCCTTCTTTGTGGAGTTCAGAGGAAGAACATATAGAGGAACTATTAACTAAATTGTAAACTATCTGCGTGAATAAGATAATCAAATCTGATTTAGTGTAATGATTTTCAAGTGTAAGAGCATTTTTATAGTTAAGTTAGCATGTTTGTCTCAAAATGCTTCATTAATAAAATGCATTTTGGTGTCACACAAAAAAGGCATTACTAATTTGGCCTGGAACACTTACTGTTTTCACTTTCATCGGTTCCTTGGTGTGGTGGAAGGCTTGGTGGTAATGTATACAGGAAGTATTTCAAAGAGAAGGTAGCAGAAAGCTGAGTGAGGTATTAAGATGCGCACAGCTGTGCTGCTTCTGGGTTGTGTGAGCAGCCTGGTTGATGGAGAGCTGCTGCAGGATGCTGAGGTGTTGCAGCCTGAAGGCCTTCGAACTAGTACTGGAAGACTTAGAATTTCCTTCCTCTCTGTATGTGTGTGTGTGTGTTTTAAGGAACCTTCTCTGTTTTCAGGTAGGGAAATGTTAGGTTTTTTTCCAGACAACATCAAGGGTCATTGGATGCCCACATGCTTTTCTTGTGCCTCCCTTCTCGAATTAGTGAACTGCCTATGTGTGTGTATATAGCAGTCTTTGTAGCTTTTTATGTAGACTTCATAGTTAGAAGTTAGAAAGTTTATATGACTTGTCATAATGTTAGCGTTTTATCTTATGGATGCATATGTGTTTGGTTACTTGATTTGTGAAAGGTATCTTATAAAAATCCTGTGTTTATACAATTGAAATCCTGAGTAAGCGCTTCTTTTTTTTATGATGAAGTTATGGGGTGGGTAATTACTCTCTAGAGGGAATGGCTCAGAATGAAATAACTGTATGCCTAATGTGTGATTTGACACCAGCTGTATTAAAGTCCCAAAGGTATGTAATTATCTCATTGATCTTGCACATATACACAAGTACAATAATGTTTGTGACAATAGTTTTATGTGCAGAACAAAGCTCACTTTATGATAAGGAATCATTTTTAAAATTTTTATTTTTTTATTTTTAATTTTATTGTTTATATTTTATTTTATTTTTGATTGTTATTTTGAGGGACTGGAAGGCTTGGTATTAGATGCACCAGTTCAGTCCTTCTATATAATTTTGATTCATACATTGCTTGACTCTAGAACTAAGACTACACCTGAGTTTCAGGTATTAAGAATAGGGGATTTTTCAGAGCTCCATGTTTACAATTTATGATCTGCATTTTTACTCACTGACTTGTTCCATTCCCTGCCCTTATACTATTTTTGTCATCGCTGTGTTATTTAAAGGCAAGACATGTACTTTAGTTTTCTACTGAAAGTGAAAACTGCAGTCTATTTAGATTTTTAGTTATACATAGATTATTTGGTCTCCTTTTACAGATCATAAAGGAAGAATTGTTGATTTGTTTGTACACTGATTTGCCCTCTCTAATTTATATTTAATGCAGTATTAAAATAATTTTAGGGCCTGGTGTGATGGTTTAGTGTTTAATTCCTTGTCTTGTAAAGCACCGTGATCCCATATCGATGCTGGTTCATGTCCCAGCTGCTCCACTCCCCATCCAGCTTCCTGTGGCCTTGGAGGGCAGCAGAGGATGGTCCAAAGCCTTGAGTCCCTGCATTCGTGTGGAATACCAGGCTCCTAGCTCCGGGCTTCAGATTGGTTCAGTTGTGGCCATTGCAGCCATTTAGGGAGTAAATTAGCAGAGGGAAGATCTTTCTCTGTCTCTCCTCCTTTCTGTAAGTCTGCTTTTCCATAAAAATAAATAAATCTTACATTTTTTTTAAGCAGTTGGAGCCATGATGTACTGGTTAAGTTGCCACCTACAGTGCCACCCCTCTATATGGATATGAGTTCAAGTCCTGGTTGTCCCACTTCATTCTGGCTGCCTGTTAATGCTCCTGGGAAAGCAGCAGAGGGTGGGCTGTTTGCTAGGCTCACTACCACCCTTGTGGGAGATCCACAGGAGGCTCTTGGCTGCTGGCTTTTTCTGGTCCAGACTCAGCTATTTTCTGCTATTTGGGGAGTGAGCCAGAGGATGGAAGATGTATTTCTTCTCTCTCTCTGTTTCTTTGTCTTTCAAAGTAGTATTTTAATAGTAGTATTTTAATCAGATTAAGCTATGACTTAATTTTGTTTATCAAAATTCTGCTTGCCTTGTTATGTGAGTTTGTTGTGTTGCTAGTGGTCAGGTTACATCAGTTTGCCTTGTCAAAGGACCAGCTATCCCAGCTTGGGAATTAGGTTGGTAGTTATGACTTGGCTCCCTGTTCACAAGCCCGGGGGATGAGCGTTCCTTAGCCTGGGGAGCAGTGGAGGCCTGTAGTGGCTGGTAGGTCTTCCCTTGGGTTAGAGAAAGGCAAGTTGAGATAGTGCCTGGGTTTGGCACTCTAAGAGAAATAACAGTGATGGTACCTTACCTGTTTACTTTGTGATTCTCTTGATATTTTATTTATTAAAAAAAATTTTTTTAAAGCACAGGTGCTGGGAGCCAAAATATTAACAGTTTTGTAACCAAGAAAGGAGAACATATTTAAAGCTTTAAATTATTAAAATTATAGTTCAAAATGTGTGAAAAAGTGTAGTAGGATATTGACACCATGTTAAGTATTAATATATTCAGTAAAGAAATTGGCAAAACTTTATTCATGTGACATGGTAACTAATTGCCACATATAACCATTGAGGATTTAGAATTTGGTAGGCTAGAATGTTGACATGTGCTGAATATACATGCTTAATAGATTTTGAAGATTTACTGTGATAAAAAGCATATAGAACATGAATAATTTGTTGAAATGACAGTGTTGAGGAATTATTAAATATGTTATTAAATTTTCACTTTCCCTTTATTTTAAGCATATGGCTATTAGAAAATCTAAAATACCTGTTGGGCTCACATTTTCTAATTAGGGCTGGTTTATGGGCCTCTTGATTTTATATTAATTTTTTTAGGTATATCATTTGCTATGGTTTGGATACATACTTGATTTCAGCTTTCTGCCAGTGTGGTTCTAAACACCATAGTGATGAATAAGCCTTGCTTCCAAAGCACTGTTTGTTTTTTAAATTTTTTTTCAACATAAAAGATTTTATTATTTACCTTGAAAGAATTACCGAGAGAGAAAGGAGAGACAAGTTACTTGACAAAGTTTTCAGTTTTTACTTTCTCAGAACTATCTGCTAATTGATTATTTTGTAAACTTGAGACCTTCTTGGCTGAATTACTTCCAGTAATCTAAGACTTTAAATTCCATTTTTCTAAAATGTTTAATGGGTTGGTTATGATATTTTAAATTGGGATTTTATTTCTGGATAAAATATGCAAATATCAAAAGTAATGTTTACTTTTAAAACTCATTCATTAAAAAATGGGAGTGGGCATTTGGCCTAGGGTTAGATGTTGGCCTCCTATATCGAAGTGCTTTGTTTCAGTATTCACCTGTAGCTCCTTGTTCTAGCTTCCTCTGAGAGTGATGGTGGCTCAAGTTATTGAGTCCGTTCTATGTACATTGGAGATGTGGATTTGGTCCTGGTCCTGCCTTCTTCCTATCTTGTGGGCAACTCTGCTTCTCAAAGGAACACTGGCAATAGTAGCAAAGTAACTCCTTACAAAGTATTGGCTTCCGTAGTGGTGTGAGGAAGCTATGTTAAAGTTTACTACTTCTTTCCTTCCTTCCTCCTTCCTTCCTTTTCTCGTTTCCTTCTTTTCTTTCTTTGTAGGAAGACAGAAGAGTAGGGTTTTCTTGAGTTTGAGTGTGTTTTGGATCAACATAAGATAGCCAGCTCTTTGTTTTCTGTTTTGTAATAGTTTAGGGAGTGTGATCCTTGGTTCAGTTAGCATGGTTATCACTTTGGAATTTGTTAGAAATATACATTCTTTGGCTCTTCCACAGGTAAACAGACTGGAAAGTTGTGGAGATGGGACCCAGCATTTGGGTTTTATGACCCCTGCAGGTGTTTTTTTTTAATTTGAGAGGCAGAGTTACAGAGAGAAGAAGAAAGAGCCGGAGAAAGAGAAAGAGAGAGAGAGATCTCATCTACTGATTCACTTACTAAATGACCACAACAGTCAGATCTGAGCCAATAAGAACCAGAAGCTTCTTTTGGGTCTTACGTGCCAGTGCAAAGTCCCAAGGACTTTAGTTGCTTTCTTAGGCCATGGATTGGAAGTGGAGCTACTGGGACTTGAACCAACACCAATCTAGGATGTCAGCACCGCAGAGGGAGGATTAGCTTACTATATCAAGTGGCGGCCCTAATGATATACACAGAACCACGGGCCCAACATCAATCAGTGTCAGCTTAGAAAAAGAGAAACCTCTCCTAAGTTTTAAGACCAGAAAGTGACACAGCAGCACAAAGATAATAAGCCACTAGGGTAGGCTGTAGGAGTGTAGGAACTCCTAGTGGGGACTAGTCAGAGCTGGAATTTTGGAAGAAATGCAGCCATCTCTGGGAATGACTTAAAGAAAGGCACAAGGGGAAGTATCCACACTCCAAACTTCATCACACCTGTCAGTTTTACACCAGTGGCGCTCCAAGGCTGAATCTGAGAAAAGCCTAGTGATGTTGAAACCTTAGAAGTGATGTCTGCAGTGAACAGTTCCCCTGAAATCCAGGGCTCCTAGATCTGTGGGTACACAGGCCCAGAAGTAGCACAGCTGGTAATTACAGCTTAAAATAAAAACATGTGAAACATTAAAAAAAAAAGTAAGATATTTTACTAGCAAAACAGTCTTCAGAATGTAATACTGTCTTCTCAATGGGATAAATTTAGCTTTGTGAAAACTGTCCTAATTTTGATCTTGATCAAGGAATCTTTTTTAAGGACCAGCATTTGAATTTGGGAGACCACAGTATTATATGTTGAAAAAATTTTCTTTTTCTCTCTTCTCCAGGACTTATTTTATTTAATACTACTTTTCTCTGAAGAATCAGCAAACTGCCCTTGGTTATTAGTACCTTCTTGTGGCAGATACTGAAAACGTGCTTCTTCAGTTCTCTTTTAACAACTTCCATTGAATACATTGGATGTTGTTCTTTTCTGTTTTGCTTCTTATCCATTGCTTGAAACTCTGTTATGTATTGTATGTCCTCTTTGCCTTCAATATTTCTCTAAAATTTTCTGTTCTTTCCCTTCTCCCTTTGAAGGATGATTACAGTGATAGGCCTGTAAAAAGGAAAATGCAACTTGCAGAGTTTTAAAAGTAAGATTATTAAAGTTGATTCATTGAAGTTTTAAAAGGAGCCATCCTGATCCCTTAGGAATCCTTGCAAAAAGGCCTGGATTTCCTTGTCATTGTAAATTATTGTTTATTCCCTGGACAACAATATTTAGCTGTAATTCTTTGAAGCAGTATTGTTTTGAACTGTAAGAAATGGAAGGCTAAGAAGCTAGCCATGTTTTTCCTTTTGAAAGGGGTGCTGTGTTCTTAATTCCTGTTGACTTAGAATCCAACTGTGTGTTTAGTTTTGCAGTGTAAAATGAAGTTTAGTATTTATGAATGTAGACACATCTAGAAAATCTATTTATTTGAAAAGGGATCCCAAACCAGGAGCCAGGAGCTTCTTTCCAGGTCCCCTACGTGGGTGCAGGGTCCCACGGCTTTGGTCCATACTTCATTACTTTTTCAGATCATAAGCTGGGAGCTGAATTGAAAGTGGGGCAGCCAGAGCATGAACTTGTACTCTAATAGGTTACCAAAGGATTAGCATATACACCATTGCGCCAGCCCCTAGCACAACAGTTTTTAATATTTTGAAGTACCCTCCAGGGTCCAGGAATTATCTAAAGAACTTCTACTTTTTAAACACACTTTTGTTGTTACAACACCATAAGAAGTAGGTGCATTCAGTTAGTCTTCAATAAGGAATATGATAAAATAAGGCACAGTTTTTGAATATTTAGATGTTAGAATGCAGGGTGTTAGTTATGATGGTGGTACAAGGGCCAGAGGAAAAAGAAGATGTGTGTTGGAAGACCAAGTGTGTGTGTGTGTGTGTGTGTGTGTGAGAGAGAGAGAGAGAGAGAGTGTGTGTGGGTGTATGTGTGTGTGTGTGTGAGAGAGTGAGTGTGTGTGTGTTTTGGGGGAGAAGTGTAGTGGTGGTGGTGAATGAAGAAGCTGCAAGGCAAATGGGATGTTAGATGAGCTGTCTGGTAGATGCTGCATCCACTCCATGCTCTGTGGAGATCCTCATTGGCTCTGCTGTTTTGGAGTGTCCACAGATGATGCTAGAGCTGCAGGTGCTTGTTGCTGCTGTTGCAGCTCCTACTAAAAGCAGAGAGCAAAAAAGGTATTTTCTTGTCATTTCAATCTCCTGCCAGTGTATTCCACGAGTAGAAGTCAACTGGAAACCAGCTGACAAGGGAGTTGGAAAGTATGAGTTTGGAAAGAATGAGAAGCTGCCTAAGACTAGTTAGTAGAATGATGTCTATTGTTATTACTTTATAGACATGGAAGCCGAGGCACAGACAGGGTAAGTAATTCTAGGTTAGTGTACAGCTACTGATTTCATAGTCTGCTGTTAGCTCCCATGCTTTCATCTTCATCTCCTTGTTGTTGACCATTTCAAATGAGTGGCTGTTGTCATAGATTTTGCTTACCTAATATTTGCTTTTTCTCTTTATACTGTCTTTAATTTTTCACCCCTGGAAGCTTCGTCTTAAGAATTACATTTATTTTTAGAATTTTAATATTTAGTATTTTTTAAAAAGATTCATTTTTATTGGAAAGGCAGATCAGATTTATGGAGAGGAGAGACAAAGATCTTCCATATGCTGGTTCACTCCTCAAATGGTCATAACAGCTGGAGATGAGCCAAATTGAAGCCAGGAGTCAGACACTTCCTCTGGGTTTCTCACACAGGTTTTTCCAGCTCATACACAGGGAGCTGGATGGGAAGCAGAGCATCCGGGAAACAAAGTGGTGGCCACGTGAGATCCCAGAGCTTACAAGGTGAAGATTTAGCCATTAAGGCATTGTGCTGGGCCTGTTACATTGATTTTATAGCCAGTACAGTAGATGGATTATTTCAACTATGGCTTCTTTATCTTCCCTTGGCTTTTGATACCGGTAGTCATTTATATGGAATTTCAGCCCTGACCTCTGTAACGCTAAACTTGTTTCTAGTTGTATTGTAATAAACTACTCAATTTCATACCTAAATCAAAACTAGTAGACACATCATGAGAACCTTCTTGTAGCTTTTTTCTTTTGTGTGTATGATAAAGCCAACGGAATCAGCGTAGGGTCCCACTTGATCTGTGTCTTGGACAAGGACACACATATAAGGCAGAAGGAAGGAGACAGACTTTTTGAATACTTATCATGTGCCAAACCCTGTTGTAAGTGCTTTGCATCTGCTGTTTGAATTCTTCTGCAGGAGGTTTGTAGACAGTCCTATTTTACAAAGGAGGAAACACATTCGGTGATTAGTGAGTTCCAAGACTGGCTCTGATCAGATTTTTTCTTTTGTACCGCTTGAGAAAAGTTCCTGATTTCCTCGACTCATTGAAGGAACTTGGTAAAATAAATTTTAAGACCCATTTCAGTTCCATCATTCTGATTCTGTAACATACCAGTTGGAGAAGAGTTACTTGTCTAAGTTAATACCCCCAGCAAAGAAATTGTCATTCTCCTCTAGGAGATGTCCTGTTTTAGTAAGGCCAAGAGTGCAAACATGTTTCTCATAAAAAGTTAATGAGCTAAGATAAAGGCATTTAAAATAGTCATAATGATAGATCTTCATATAGATCTCAAGTGAACTTCCTTAACTGTAAGTGAGGCTGCTGTGCAGAACCTTAGAGGCTGTGGCTTTTACTGATGGGGACTCAGGACAACAAATTTGGTATGACTGCAGTCTAAACAAAAAGCAACCATGTTATTCCATTGTGTTTTCTGTTGAGAGGTTTTCTTCCTGATTATGAAGAATGTTTTCTTTGTAGGAAATTTAGTGTGGGATATGCAATAATATAGTGAAAAATATTTTTAAGGATAAAATTCTCTGTAATGTGGTTTCACACCTTTAGGAAGCCAACAGACAACCTTAAAATGATTATTCAATATGTGAATCTTCTTTAAATGGCCTTTTTTTGGCATACTGTACTCAGCATGAAATATCTTAGCAGGATTCTGCTTGCTTTCTTTACCACATCAATGTTCTGTAATGATTTTCTCTTTTATGCCTTTTTAAAAATGGGAAATTGAAAGGGATATAGTTCTGCTTTTCAACTTTACTTTTATTTGCTTTCTCAGTTAAGGGAGAAAGCTTGCAAGGGTGTGTGGGATGCTTGGTTGTTGCTTCTTTCGTCAGTTCTCTGTTCAATTGGTGGTTCTTTGGTACATCTTCAGCAACTTGGTGTGCTTAGTGTCTGATGAGAGTTCAAATCCTCGCCCCTTTGTGGTGCCCTTCTAGATCATGCCAGCCGTTGCACAGCTGTCCACAGCACCAAGTGGGGATGATGCTGCAGCTTCTTTTCCAGGTCTGACTGCCTGCATGGTTATTGATCTCTTCTGGCAGGTATTTCAGGCCATTTTAGGCTGTTGCCACCCTGCAACATCAGAAAATCTGGTACACAGTCATCACTTATTTATGTATTTAAATTTTTCTAAAAAGTTTATTGATTTGAAAAGCAGAATTCCATAAGGACACATTACATACTTTCTCTCTCTCTCTCTCTCTCTCTCTCCCTCTCTCTCTCATATCCAGAATGGCCAAGGTGGGGCCAGGCTGAAGGCAGGAGCTCAGGAGGTTTTGGGTTTCCCACGTGGGTACAGCTTGGCTTGCTAAGCCACAATGCTGGCCTCACAAGTCTCATTACTTAGAAAAAACAGAATCAAAAGTCTTACAAAATGAGACTAAACCTTGAGAAATGCAGTGCCTGCTAATGCTCTCAATGCTGTTTCAATTTCATGTTTAAAAAATGCTGTGACCTACATCGTAGATGTTCAGTCTCTTAGTGAGTCATGACCCACTCTGTGGAAAACACTGTCCTCAATGTGCGAATAGGTGTTTGAGGGTTATCTTTGGTGAGTGGAGCCTACTCATATGTTTGGAAACTATAAATATTTAGAGTACAGTAAATAATTATAAAATGAGTGAACTAATTTCTTGATTTCCCCCTCTGCAATAGGAAGCCAGCATTTCTTGGACCCTGTGTGATCCTATCTGAGTTATGGATAATTCATCCACTAGTTGGGCGACCCTTATAAGAAACTGTGTTTTTACTTTTTTCTTGTGTAAGCCAGATCTGAATAAATGGAATTACTACTAAGTAAAAGTTATATAGTGAAACTGGTCAGTACTCATAGATTCAAAATAAATGATCAGTCCATATGTTCTTGCCCCTGCCCCAGATGCTGACTTTGAGAAGATTCTGTATGCCAAAACGAAGTATGTGTGCTCTGAATAAACCCCTGACTTCGGAGCAGCAGGTCTGCTTTTTGGTTCATCTTCCTCATGAGATCCCAGATGATGGGCTTTGTTTCTTTCACCGGCTCTGTGGTTAGCAGGTCTCCGACACCTGCATGAGAAAAGTGTGCAGATAGGAAGCCCCTGTTCCGTGACTGCCTCTGTGCTTTCTTCTCCCCACCTCACAGGGGCATTGCACACCGCGGTGGTTGGTGAGAACCCGCCAAGGCTGGCTAGTGGGGACAGGTTCAGGACAGGCAACCAGCACCAGTGTCAAGGGCTGTCCCACGAAGAGGGTCACACTCACTCCTGAGAGAACTGTCATGGCAAAGGCTTCACATGATTTAGCGTTGTTTTGTTATGTAGAATTCAGAACACTCTGTGGCATCTGCTGACATGGACCAGTTTTGAATATTTTATTTTTATGTTATTTACTTTGTAGATGCTTACTTTGCTTGCTTCTGCCAAATTCTTAGAAGATTGGCTAATCCCCTGTTCTCATGAACCTCTCTCTGTTTTCATATTTTCTTTTAGATCCATCATATTTACTCTAATAAAGCATCAGGAAATAGCTCTTGTCATAGCATAGAACTTTTAGAACTTTATAACTGGCACAGCAAATTAATAGTTTATTTGTGGACATGAGGAGAGACCCTAGCTGTACAAGGGTGGACATAAAAATACTGTGCTATTAATGGGAGTAGTACCAAGGTTTGTGTGTTTCCTGAAGGAAACTAAAATATACTTAAAGGTTATTTAAAAGGTACACAGTCATCTCTTCAATATTTTGGTATTATCTTTACAGGATAGACCCATGAGATGATCTGTGTAGCATAGCTTCTCAGAAGACACAACTGACACACTGCCCTCTCCTGATTAGAAGGTAGTCCCATTGGAAGATGGCATTTTTAGTGATTTTTTTTTAGATTTATTTATTTTTATTGGAAAGCAAGATATACAGAGAGGAAGAGAGACAGAAAGATATTCCATCCACTGTTTTATTCCTCAAGTGACCACAACGGCCAGAGCTGAGCCTATCTGAATCCAGGAGCCAGGGGCTTCTTCCAGGCCTCCCACATGAGTAGAGGGCCGTCCTCAACTACTTCTCTAGACCACAAGCAGGGAGCTGGATGGGATGCGGGCCTGTTGGGACATGGAATGTTGGATAATCTGTGTCAGTCATGGGTCGGGAAATTACGGATTGTGGGTTAAATCCAATCTGCTGCTTGTTGTATAACCGGTAAACTAAGACTGGGGTGTGTACATTTTTTAGGGATTATAGCAAAAAAAAATTTTAAAAGAATAATGTGAAGTAAAAATTGTATGAAACTCAAATTTCAGATCTCCTAAATAGAAGTTTTAATTGGAATACATTCAAGTTTGCTAGTTTATTCACTTTGGGCTAAACTTGCTAACCTCTGATTGCTAGCTCTTACACTGATATCAGTAAAGCTGATTATCTTAAAAGTTACAGTGTGGAATACCATGATCCTAAAGATAAAGAAGCAGGAGGATTTGGAGGTTAAAACATGAGTTTGTCCCTGTTAGTTTATAGAGCAGCTTTCTGCATGGTGAGTAGATGGATCCCTGAATTTTGGGACATTTAGAAAAGCCAGTTAGGATAACGCGATCCAGAAATACAGCCATGCTTGATGCAGTTACTGTGGTGAGAGAGGAGCATTGTAAACTTTATTTTGGATTTGATAGCTTTTATTCTGCTTTTGATGCATCTCAACTCTAGTTTGTTTTGTCACTTCTGTTTAACCCTCCTTTGTATGATTTTTATTTTAATCCAGTGCAGGCTTTGTCTTTTATTAAACAGTGTGATTATTTCCCCTTCAAATATTTAGTTATGACTTGTTGAAGAACCATATTATTGTAATAATATAGGGGAAAACAGTGGGCATGGGGAATGGTAAATGGGGAGGACGAAAAGGGACATCCCTGAGCCTGTGGAACTGTATCATGAAAACAAAAATTTAAAAAAGGGATTCCTTCTTTTTATTTGGAAGGTATATTTTCAGAGAGGAGGGGCAGAGAGAAAATCTTTGCTGCTGGTTCACTCTCCAGATGGCCACCACAGCTGGAGCTGAGCCAATCCACAGCCAGGAGTCAAGAGCTTCCTCCAGGTCTCCCAAGTGGGTGCAGGGTCCCAAGGCTTTGGATTGTCCTTGACTGCTTTCCCAGGCCACAAGCAGGGGAACTGGATGGGAAACAGGGCAGCTAGGATTAGAACTGATGCACATATGGGATCTCAGTGCTTAAAAGTTGAGGACTTGAGCCACT